ATATATATATATATATATTATTGAAGATTTTTTTTGACAGCTTCTAGCTGTCTCTGGCGATGGTAAACAGGTAAAATTTAAGAGGAATTATGACCTTATTTAGATTGCTAGATAGGTTTAGGAGTTGGAATTTAATATTATATGACAATAAAATAGAGGAAATTAAACTATAAAGCTTGCCATTATTTACTAGGGTTTTTTATCCAACTTCCTAAAGGTATGTCTGTTCTTTGTTCTTTGTATGTGTGGGAGGTGGGTGGGGTTGGGGGTGGCTAAGATCCAGCTAATTGGTTTGTACTTATATATAATGATGTATAGAAGAGAATAAACTCTTGTTATCTTAGTGTTCTTTCTTTGTTTTCTTTCTTTCTTTCTCTTTCTGTCTTTGTTTGTTAATCTATTGGGTTGACTATATCGTTGAAACAGGGAGAGAAAAATGGAGTCATCTTCCAAAATATATGGAGATGGAAGAGAAGAATGTCAGAGCAGTGAATCTGGGTGGACAATGTACATTGGTTCCTCCATGGATGACGACGACGGTGGTGACGGTGGTGCTGTGTATGATGCAGGTGGTACTTGTGGTGGGTGGAAGAAGGGTACTGTGAAGATAGAAGATGAAGATACAGATGATTCAATGGCTTCCGATGCTTCATCTGGCCCAAGTCATCTGCACCTGCAACAACCATGGGATGCACAGGAAGATGAAGGTGACGGGAACCATAAACAAGAAAAATACAAGGGTTCAAGCAAGAAGAACAAGAAATCAGCAGGGAAGAAGAAAGGTGGGTATGAAGAAACCAGGAAAAAAGACGAGAATGAGAAGAGAGGTGTGATTACTACTGTTCAAAGTGGCAATAGGGCTTGGTTTATGAGTAAAAGAAAGTAAGAAAACACAGTTTTCCGATCTTGTTTTCGTTCTTTTGTGGTTGGTGGTGGTGGTGGTTGGCGGTGGGCGGTGGTAACCACCGGCAGGTAGCTAGTTAAAGCTTTTGAAATGAAGTTGTTCTAGAAAGAATCGATTAATACCAGGGAATCATACTGTTATTTTTTGTGTGTATGGTTTCTGTACATCTAATGAAATATCCATCATATGTCGTATGTTTAATTATTTTCTTATTCATTTCATTTCATGTTTTATTTGTGTATACCACTTATATATGTTTCTTTTCAAAATCATATAAAACAAAATGTACATATATTTCCTCATGTGCATGAATGGAGTTACATCATAAAATCTAAATTAAATCTAAAATACGAATTGAAACTTGGATTACCAAAAAATGATTCGTTGATGGAAGAACATCAACATGGTCCACTCATTAAGTTTACTTAATTCTAACCTACATGTCAAATGATCATTATTTCAAACGAATATCACATCAACTTTAAAAGCGATACCTTCAATTAAGGAGTCTTGATATATTCACAAAAAATAGATTATCCTATTAGTTGAAACATATTTATAATAACTTAAAAACGTGTCATGCTTTATTATGATTAAGCTCCCATTTATAGTTTTCTCTTCTCAAAAAGAAAAACGAAGAAGATATATATCGTTTTCGTTGTTTTCGTTTGGAGAATCTAACATATGCATCAATGAGTTGTACGATACAATTAGAGAAACGTGAGTTAGTAGAATGGGACACTTGTAAAGTTGGTAAAAGCACATGACACGAAGGAAGGAGGAGGAAGGAAGAAGGAAAGGTCTAATTATAAGCCACCATAGCCACAGCTCAAACACCCAACTTCACAGATAGATTACACATGACGGCTGCACATGCTCCATTCCTTAATTTCCCCTAATTTATATTGTTTGCTAATCCAATTTTGTGATTTATAAGATCGTTAATTAATCTAACATTATACTGTATACGTGTACGTAACTGTTATCTGTTTATATGTAATGAGACCCACATAGACAATCTAATTTTGATTAGGATGTTCTTGAAACAAAAAATTGTTATATAAATGAACCTAAATTGCAGAACCATGTCATGGAATCGTATATGCATGATTTCTGTAATGATGATATGTTCTACTTAAAGTTAATGTCTTTTTTATATATTCGTGAAACTATTTTTTTGATTTCATATTTAATTATTTGTATGCGCTAAGTAATGGATAGAATTATGAGATGTATTTAGTTTTATTAAAAAGAAATTATTTCAGGAAAATCTTTTCTCATGCCACTAAGTACAATGTATGCATGTGTGTAAGTGCTTTATATTATTTATATTTTATCAAAAGAAATTTTGGTAACATGGTACGATGCTTGTCGTAATAATGCAAACAAAAAAATAAAAACAAGATATTGTTTAGACTAATTAAACGCTTTCATTTTGGCTATATCTTGTGGTCTATACTTCATTTCCTCCATCTAATCTATGTATTTTATTATATGGACGATTATAATTGATATGAAAATATTAAAATCTTTGAATTTGAATTATTTAGGACGGCAGGATATATACCTAATATTTTAAAAAGCTAAAGTATTAATGTAATTATTGATACGATATTCTCTTTAAATGTTTATCATTAGGTTGTTGGACTGATTTTTGTCGACATGGAGTTCCATTATGTTTTAATTAAATTTATGTGTACACCTAATGTTTTAGTTATTTATGTAACTTCCCACAAGGTACATATCATTATATTATCAGCTCAAGCCAATCGGCAAGAAAACATTCTAGAGGGTCATCGTACCCATCTTGAAATTGCTTCGTTCTTGCCTCCTTAACCACACTCTTATCAGAATTGTTTAGTTCTCATTTCCAACCGATATGTGAATGTAGTCCCCCACCTTCAACCTTCCCCATCTGCAGTATTTGATATCCTCGTCGACCAATTGACTCGTGCACTAGCTTTGATAACATTTGTAACATACCTTACAACATGTACCACAATATTGTCCTTTTTGTGCATATCAGCACGAGGACTTCACAATAAGGTCACACATCCTGAAATTGTTTTGCCTGTTTAAATATAGAGTTATCATGAGATATGTTTTCCTCACAACTTTAAAACATGTTGTGTTAAAGAAGGTGTCTACACCTCTTAATAGGTGATTCTTAGTTCTCATTTCCAGTCGATGTGGGTAACTGTTCTACCCC